AGCAGATTGAAACATGTGTCCATTTCCCTCTCTGTTGAGCAAACGACAAAGCAGTCGTCTATGTAACGACAGTATAGGGCGGGTCGGCGGTCCAACAACGGCTTTTCTATCTTAGACATGTAGGCGATGGCGAGTACTGGTGCCAACCTTTGACCCATGGCCAACCCTCTGATCTGCCTGTAATATTGCCCAGACCACCTGAAGATGGAGCAGTCAAGACACTCACTGACAAGTGTCATTCACTTGGGTGGTCGAGAGGCCGTACATGTTTATGGATGCCTCGTGCTCACTAAGCAGCTCAAAGGTGGCCTGCATGGCATCCTTGTTTGACACGTTGGTGTACAGGGAGGTGACGTCAAAGGATTCCATGACGTGGTTCCGTCTGAACCTGGCCTCACGCAATTGGTCGAGGAACTTGGTGGTATTACTAAGGTGGGCTAAGGCGCGGAGTTTGAGGTCTCTGTAAGGATCTTGACGCGAGAGCCCCACACCTCGGCGCGCAAAACTTTGGAAGCCTTTTGGATCAGCGCCAAAAATCCAAAAATTAACAGGAAAGATGAATGCCTAGCCATAACCAGTGAACCAAAAAGGACCACACACGATGCCAAGATTTATTGAACGTCGAGCTCATGTACTACAAAGCCACACTCTTTTCTACTCCAAAGGGAAATGAGTGCAGTTAGTTGCAATGAATTTCTTAAAGATAAAACGTATTTGAAGAACGTGATATCAGACGAGCTCTCCTCCAATTGGAGTAGATTGTTTTTTTTATAGACACATCAGATCTGATACAACATTCTTTTGTTCAGATATCGAATCACCGCCAAGGTCTAGGAACGTGTCTTCTAGCCATCGGTCATGAATGAATCTAAAGTGACAAATGTTGATTTTGCTCAGGCGCCATATTTCGATTACTCGCTTTACGAAAACGTGAGTTTCATTACTTCACAGTCGGGCAGTCGCAATTCGCATGTGTCGCAGCCTAGGCGCACTCGTCGTCTGCTCCCTCTACTGGTTTCCATAGTACTTCCCCAAGAGCAGCTCTAATTCGCGACACACGCGACGCAAATGACGACCGCCCAGTGCAATTTTACAGAAATTACGCCTGAAAATCGTTAACTTTTCTCGAATTGAGTGTTTCAGTTCTCGGTAGTGTACGCATTACCATTGTCGAATCACGACAACGGTTCGCTTATGGCTATCGCATCATTCTATGCCTTGCTATTCATGCTGGGCACATGCGGCAATGCCGCTATCTTGGCCGTTGTGCATCATGTGAAGGCGTCGGATTCGAGGTGATCCTTACCTTCAGAGATGTTATTTGAACAATCATTGTACCTTTTATCCTGAAAAGCATTTCAATGTGGAACTTTGTTCACAACTGCTATACCAGTAATGTGTCATCCCCACCAGGCTATGTGACGTGATTGTACATAGATCGTTAGGTTGTCACTAATTTTGATCACTTTTCTTAGTCCATTGAAACTTTGAAAAGAAACGCAGGCTTCGAAATGCTAACACCGTAAAGGCCAGATCCGATATGAAAAATCTGGCCCAACTTCCTGGCACACCGGCCTGACTGAGAAATTTATTTTTCCCCGTACTATTTCAATACAGCTTTTCATGATTCCGCCATTACAGCCTATCCCCAGGGCAGACCAAGCAAAGTTCTACCATTATTGGTAATATAACTTCCAACCGAAGTCTCCTTCTATCTCACCTGTAACGCACTGCATTAATAATTCACGATAAGCGACGATAGTAAAAAAAATTTTATTTATCATCGAAACAACTTGAAAAACGTGGGGAACTTTTACGTGTTTTAATCCCCGCCATAAATCTCACGCTAATTAAGAATGTGTCAAAAATGATATTCAATCTATCTTTGATCAGAAGTCTAGCAGTGTACAAGAGGGACTTACTCACTGCACTGCAAGTGCGCTTCATAAGGAATTCATATGTTGAGCAATGCACCGATAAATAACTAAGTTAATTCGACAAAAATCAGCCCGTCGCACAGAAATTATGACCGACCTCATAGGTAATTGCATTATATTTGAGGTCCATTATCAGTGTTGCCGAAGAGGTGGCTGCAACTTTAAATCACCTTTTCAAAATCTCAGAGCTGGTGAACAAGCATCGAAACTCCTCACATGTAATGCAAGCAAGATTGCAATTTTTAGATCAAGGCACAACACAACCTTAACCTACATATGCATACTATGTATTGTGGACTTTTTAAGCATGCTGCCTCTTCCAATGACAATCATCGATCAGGTATGCGCTGCACTTTTGGTGAAATTTGCCATTTTCAGACATAAAAAAAATGTGGTCATATGGAGTAATACGCTCCTAATTCGAAAGGTCTTTTCCTGATTTTTAATCTATTTTTGCGGATGGCTGGAAACCAGCATACAAGACACAAAAGCCAGAGAACAGTCTGAGGAATACAAGAAGCGTATCATCAAAAGGGAGGGTGCGGGTAGAGACATGAATAGCGGTATAATGATGGCGGTGTTGTAGTGATTTTTTTTACATGGCAGTCCACATAACCTGAAAAACATGCCAAGAAATTCACAATTCTATTTTTTAAAGTCTCATTGATAAGAGCGCTACACTCGAGAGTGTACATCCCAGTGATGTTCATCAGTATCACCTGGTCCTGAAATACTACCAGGTAGTAATGCCTACTCAGTCCGCACAGTGCCTTTCAGAGTGCACATTTTAGCGTACTAAACAAGCGTTCAATCTATTATTGCAGTTTTATTATTCAGACATTTAATACTCTACCTTTTAAAAAATTTTTCCCCCCCCCCAAAAACCAAAGGGGGGGTTTTCTAAGACTGACTCTGGAGGTCATGCGAAATCTACGCATGAAAACTGTCTAAATCTGAGAAGACTGCTGTCAGAGCTGCCCGAGGGGCTAATGTACTTTTACCGATTGTACTTCGTCTATCCATGTGAAGCACGCAGAAGATCCATAAGTCAGGATTAAAGCATAATACCGTATGTGGTTGGCACTGGGCGCCACTGCAGCGTACCATCTCCACTGTGCTCGCTCCACTCTCTTTTTCACTTGCGCCTCTCAAGTGGAGAGTATTCGCTAGCAACTTGCCAACCTGTTTTACCACGTTGACGACACACGCCCTTGTGCGCGAACCTACCCACCTTACTTTACAAATTTGCATTAACAGTTACTACATTACCAATAATTTCATTAGTGGTAACGAGAGAACTATTTTTCGTATCCAACATTAGGAAGGGCCAGTCTTGAAGCATGAAAATGGAGGCACAATTTAGAGAACAACTCTCTTCTCGTTGATGCGGCGTATTGTCCGCGTCTGTCGCAAAGTGATTTAAAGCGTGTATGAAAAATGTGAGACGCCCTCATGTCAGTCTTGGCTCACTTTGGGGGCTGCGGATTCCTCCCTTGCCTGCGCGCAGAGCGCGCGGCGTTTGGGAATAGTGCGATGCTGCTCCATGATTTTTATATCGCTTGGACATCCGCTAGCATTGCGCACTGGAAGCCTGCAACGCGCCCTGATCACCGTGGTTACAGGTTCCTTTTGTCCTGAACAATGTAAGTATGTTTAACTGTGGGTGTCAATTCCGATCCGTCCCAGGTTTGCCCTGACTGACGGCTCGCAACAACTGCAAACTCCCATTTGAACCCTGGAAATAAACAAGTGGAATCATGAGCAGTCGTCATTCAGCCATCACTAGCAAGCAGAAGTGGCAGCAGGATTGGAGGACAGCCTTCGGCAGTACTGATCGGGCACTTGTAATTTCCCGTGACCCGTCGCGTGAATCGCGTGAATCGCGCAAATCGCTTAAATTACGGAAATCAGCTAAACCTGCGACGTGTCGCGGACTCTGAAACCAGCCTAACACACCAATTCGCCTTTTCATGGTCACGTGCTGGTGGTCGGCTGCTTCAAGAAGTCGACTGTTACATTTTAATCTTACACGAAAAATTTTCCTTGATCCGAATAACAAGATATGGATGTGGAACTGCGCCATATGGAGAAAGTCATAAATTATTGGTTCTCGTGTGAAGAACTTCGGTCGCAGCCTCCTTATTTTTCGCCATTTTATATTAGAATAGAAAAAGTATAGTACGACGAGTTCGTGCATGAGATGTTGTGGATCTAAAAGATGCATCTATGGTGCATATAAGAAGATTTGGGGCTAACCTAGGGTAGGGGACCATGTGGCGGCGCGGCCTCGCTCTGGCGCGCTCTCAGTCAAAACGTATATCGGCCCCGCGCACGCTATGTTTGCATAGCGCCATCTCTTAGGCAAGACACACTAAGACTGGTCCTAAGTGAGCTTGACGACTTCCTTTACTAAGCACTCGAGTCAGCAAGAAAAGAGGCTCTGAGTGTTATAGACACTATCTCCACCCAAGTTCCTACTTTCTTGGCTCTCCAAAGACTCATCAAACATACATAGAGCCAGCCATCCCCCTAGCCAGGGTGAAAATCGTGTCGAGAAAATAACCGCCTCTTTACGACCCCCCTCCAAAACATGAACTCTGATACGACCCCTTTTTGTCCTCTGCACATCCGGTTTCATATCAAAAAATGCTAGTTTCAGATGTGCGAGAGGGACGCAGCGCCGCTGCCACGCAAATGCGGCTTGATCCAAATGCTAGATTCAATTCTGCTCAGATTAGGTTCTCCTTCTTTCCTTTAAAGACATTTAACCTTTGCCACATTGGCCGGAAAGTAGAACATTGAAGGAGGTACTGCCCCTACACAGTTGAACAGTCTCGCGCTCCAGTATAGCGGCGCTAACTACCGCGCGATGCCTAGAGCGCGCTAGTTGGAAAAATCGTCAAATGTACCCCCTATTCAAAGGACTATAACTTTCTTCATTGATAAACGTTTCAGAAAGTGAAGGCAGCTTTTGAATGCACAAGACTTCTAGTTTCTAAGTTGTGCTGAGCGTTTTTCTAAGCACGCCTATTCTCGAGAGTGGGAGACGTCGAGAAATTGTCGAGGAAACTGAAATTTACATGCGAGTTCCCACTCTTTGGAAGACAGTAGCTGTCTTCATTGGCAATGCTTTGAAAATCGGAGGAAAGCGTTGTAAAGTAGAAGATTTACGCTTTCTGATAGGTGCTCCAGTTGTTTCGAACGCTTTCTAGTTCGCGAGAAATCTGCGTCGAGGAAATGTCAAGGAAATTTTCGAAGCCACTCGAAAACTCTATTACTCCCTCGCCGTAGTAGGGACTTCTTTGAACACCTTCAAAATACTTCTGTACGCGTCAGTTCGATGGAGTAAATGAAAATGATGCACTTGCGCGGATCCATCCCGTTCTTGTATGCGCCATGCAGTGACCCCACTCGGAGTCATTGGGAAGGTGTTTTGTCCTAGTGAGTGTCCTCTAGACTCCTTATCCACACCAAAAGATATTTCCAGTATTACCTAATTAGAATAACTCTTCGGTCATAGTGATGTCTGATCTCCTTTATTCAAATCGCTTCCTTTCCAACCCGTTCTGATGAATGACAGCTTGCGGTGGCAGGATCTGATAATGCCAAGAAGGCTGCGAATCTGCCTGTTTTGAACTTTCTACCAAGATGCTGTTCCTCCACTAAGTTTCAGAAGCATGTACATCATTCTAAATTAGATACCCGCTGCCCTTCCCTACAATCTTTGGCCAGACTTCCCTAAAGCGAACGATAAAGATAAATTGCGTCTCAGCGGGGAAAGTCCCATGCACGCATGTAACGCAAGGAAACGAAATGTTGCGTTTTTGTGGTCAAAGGTGCGCTAGTTGCAGCGTACAAGGCTTGCCATTCCTTTCTGAGCCCCGCCACGGTCTGTGCTCCGCCCCCAGCAGCAGCGCCCTTCGATTGCCAATGTGACGAGATATTCCACTTCCAGAGTGTATCCTATAACTTTTCATGGGATGCGTGATCAATCAAAGCATGATGCTTGCTGAAATGATAGAGGCTATCAGCATAACATGTGCAAACGACCTCCTAATTGGTTGCTAGCTCGTCCATTATCGGAGGTCAACGGGCAAAGAAAGGGTCCCATTTTGCGCCTTCTTGACGGATTTCTTTGCTTTTTTCGCCACTGGGGCATTATTCAGCATCTCCACTTCCACTATGAACCCAGTCCAAACTTATCGTAATCCCTCGCTTAAATATTACTGATCACTCACGACCATGATAAAAAAACCAAACCACTTGTAAGATTATTTGCATTAGGCTAAGTACAACACTTGTGAAACTAATGATGACAGCAAATAAGTGGCAGCAGCACCGTTGTGTCCGTTGATGAACCTTTTGATTACGACCCCCTCCCAACTCTCATCGGAGCAAATACGACCCCCTGTCGAGGATTTCCTCGACCGTTATTCACCCTGAGTCTGCGATTC